TTGGTCTTTACTCAGTTTCTTGTTACAGGGACAAGCAAGGGTTTCTTGCTCTAGGGAAGGCAAGTAACTGATTTGTCGGGTATTACTTATTGCTAACTGATTCGGTCGCTGGTGACCTCTTTTTCTGTATGATGTTTGCTACTCCACATTTCGGAGAAAAAGAAAAAGATACAGAGAGAAGACATTGAAATCGAGAAAAAATGGAGAAAAAGATTTTGCCACTAAAAGTTAATTCAGCAAAGACATAAGAGTTTAAACGTTAGATTTCTTTGTCACCTTTTGCTCTGCTATTTTGGATCTACCTATGTTTTCTAGCCTTTTCATTTAATTTGCTCTCAGTTACCTACCAGTGACCAGCGTCAATGCAACAATGCAAGTATTAACCTTGGCCACAACATTGCTTGTTCCCATGAATTTGTTGGTCTTTCATTTGTTGATCTGCAAAGTTGCCTTGCAATGATTATAGCCTTGCAAATATTAACCTTGGTCACAACTTTACTTGTTCCCATGAATTTGTTGGTCTTTCATTTTCGCTCATGTTGGTTCGTGTTACTGTCCGCTAAAGATCTTAAACTACTTATCTCCCACAATGCAGCAAAAGAAATTTTTCCGAGAACTTTAGGTTTCTAGATATGTAATTGGTTGATTTATAATAAAACTAGTTTTTAGGGCAAAACCTACGAAGAATACAGCTTTAAGAATTTAGCATAATATCCTGCGCAACTAGGCAGAACGTCAATTTCGGCGAAACATATTTCACTGGAACTCTTCAGTGGTAGGAAAAGAAGACGTTCATTTTTTGGTAAAGCTTTCCCTAGCGTCATCTACTGTTAGATGCAATATCACCATTAAAGCAGCATTGGCCATGTTCAAGGACAATGATGGAGGGAAGTAAAAGAGCATCGGGGCGGAGGATGTCACTTGTGCTATTCTGGTTCCTTTGCCTGGTCAGCTTCCTGCTCATTCGTCTAATTTTCTCCTACTCACCTTCGTTCCCCTTCGCGTAAAGAAAGGTCATATAATACATGGAATAAATCCCAATGCGTTTATGTAAAGATGCTCTGTACTCTGTGAAGCCTTTGCACTGAATCTCTGTGAAGCATTTATGTTGAATTTATTTGCAGAAAACAGAGAATAGAACCAGATTTATAAAAGTGAGAAAAACAGTTTGTTCAGAAGTTCTCTCATGATGGTACAGAACTATATCGCGACAGTTTTAGGCTGCAAGGAAAGAAGTTCGAGGTAACCGAAGAAGCAATAAAAAGAGCTGGAAATATTTAGACTGAGAGGCAATATTCAAGTTATGGCTAGTTTGAATATTTTACGCCATTCCAGTAGTATTGATCTGATTGCTTTCAAATTTAAGCAAAATAACATTACAAACGATTAATATTTTAATTTTTTTCTTCATAGGAATTTATATAATTTATATTGCTACATTTTTTTTCTTACGTACGGGGTTCGTGGATTTGGAGTGATTAACGGCAACACTTGCTGAAGAATGAAAGCGCAATTTATTAGCCAGTATTACTCAAGACAGCTCCAAAAGCACATTTACAGTTGTCGAAGAAATACGACAAGCACGCTGAAACAATCAGCAATCACAGCCTTCAGGCTATCAGGCTATAACGGTGAAGACAGCTTCACGGCAAAGAACCGGAGTACAGCTTCCGACTCTGCTCGGTCGTTCTCGAAATTTTACGTACCCTTGAGACTCTCCACGCTGCAACTCGCGATACACGCAACCATACACTACAGTACAGCTCCCGACTCGGTTCGTTCGTTCTCGGAGGTCAATACACTCGAAAATAAAACTCGACGATGCACTAACTCGCGATACACTAAGAGACTCTCTCAAAGGACTCGACGACCAACTCGGCATTAGGCTACGAGGCACTCGCTCACTGACCGACTATTAACTGACTCGATTAGGCACTCTCTCCGCGTACCAGCAGAGCTTATATAGCTTTTGGCTTGCGTTCGAGAACATTCTGCGTCAAACCGGTAAGAATTCATTCCAGAAGGTTCTCCGTCCGTCTATGTCATATCGCCAGTTTTGTCGCCAAATGGGCGATTTCTTGCCAAATATGACAATCCTGCCTTCCCTTGCCATTTTCTGGAAACCTTAAACTCGCCTTGCGGGGAAGGTATCCTATCTCGGCTGCACATTTCGCAACAATATATATGTATATATATAAGTAAACAAAATATTCAAATCATTTACAAAAAAATCTTTTGTAAATAGTGTCGGTCAATTTTCTTTGTCAGCTTGGAAATTAAGAAATGTAAATCCTTTTTTTACATTTTAAATTTTTGCAAACTTCAAACAATTCATTCAAGCATGTGAAGGGGACGAACGACGATAGCTTCCTTATTATTGCCGATTTTGGGGAAAACTGCTGACTCCCCTTGATCAGTCAGCATTTTTCCAGGAATTAAAATACTTTCTTTTTATTTTAAATTAGTTTATTTTATCTGATTCTTCTGAATCAGGTATTTATACATTCAATTTACACACACACACACACACACACACACAACACAAAAAAAAAAAAAAAAAAAAAAAGTTCTTTTCTGAGGTGATCAAATATAAAAAATAATAAGTACATTTAAATATATATATGTACATGTGTGTGTGTGAGATAGCACATGTCTGTATTTTTACCGGGTACTTAAACTTTCAAGTGTAGTACTATTATTTCTGATGCACATGTCAGCATTAACAAGAGAGTTTCGGGAAAGTTTGGAACAGATTTGCTAAATAATTGCAATGAACAACAGTTTTACATCTATTTGCGATAATTTTTATGTTAATATTTTTATTTAACATTCTTTAATTATATTAGCAACAACATCTGATATGAATTTCACCTACTGCTTACAAATAAATTTTAGTTCAGAAAACTGTTAAATTCAAAAGAGAAATAATAAACACTTGACTGTTTATTATTTTACTTTAGATGCATTTATAGTTATAAATGAGCGCATAAAATAAAGACGTTAAATGTAGCTTTTATGCATATGTTAAATGGATGCTTGTCATGTTTAAGCATCTGAGGATAAAAAATACTTGAACAAGAATATTGAAATGTATACCATTGCCCTTCAGCAGTGCGTTTCCTTTTTTAACCAACGATGGCGTTTACATTACCATTTTATCAGAAAACGATAAAAATAGCTCCTGTTCATGCATTTCAGTACACAAGTATCCATTCAAAAAGCAAATGGATGTTCGACAAATATGGTTTAAAAAGAAAAGACAAGATTTTTCTCGATTCCAGTTCATAAAGCTGTCTCTGGAAATGGATATGTTTTTCAGGAAGTATATGTAATAACTAATGAAAATTGTTTTTAAAAGCCGATTTAGAATAATTGCTCTTTCGGACTCTTCAAAATCTCATTTATTTAATCTCAAAGAAAGTAAGAAGAAAGATTTATGGAGCAGTCGTGGTTTATTTAAAATGGTTTATTTTTAACCAAACTGAATAGAGGGAAAGATGAAATGACTTTGGTAAATGGAAAAGTGCTCCATTGTTTTGTTAGTCATATAGAAGAAACATAAAATAAAAGGCATTTTTTATCGCACAGTTTCACTGTAGTGGAAATAAACTCCAAAAGCAAGAAAATATTTTTAAATTTCAGCTCTTATTTCTCTCCATAACAGTGAATGAATCAGAAATGAAAACAACGATTCTTTGCGTGTTTATTCAGTAGGTTTTTAAACGGAAAGGTGTAGTGAAGATAAAGAAAGATGAAAAATGGTCAGTGGAATGAAAACGGAATTAAGTAATAATGCATACACACAAACCTGCTTCTGTGCGGTCTTTTTTTACACGATTATGCTGTCCCTAACAGGTTTGAGTGTAGCTATAAAAATAGTTTTCACAAAACAAATTAAAAAAGTTTTTTGTAAGCGTAGAACGAGCCGTAGTTTAATAAAAAATGAAGACAAATTAGGTATTTTAAAAATGAAGAAAAATAATCAAATAATAAAAAAATCAGCAAATATATGAAATGTAGAAATAGGAAATTATTTCTGCAAGTTGATATGGAAGACTTCAAAAAAATTTTAATAGCATATAAAATTAATAAATGGTTTACGGTGTATTGACACATAGATAACATATTATCAGCTTATTCAAAAGGGATCTATGATTAGTGACTCAAAATCACAGATTACACTTTGGCTGTAACAATAAATCTACATTAATACACCAACGAAGGTATGAATAATAAAACTTCAATGTTCTTGTATTTTAGGTTTTCATAATCAATCGTACGTAAAATCTTTACATTAGACCTTGGAATCTTAGAGGTTCAATAACTTCCTAAAAACCTAAAAATTCATTTTATCAATTGAAATGAAATTTTAGGTTTTTATGCTTTGAAAATAAAAATAATTATACTGGGGTGAAGGGTGGCTATATTTGCGCAAGAAACAGATGAAAATCAGATTTATCAATAAGAGATGTATATTATGAAAGGCGTTTTGTATAGTGCAGATGTTTGAAAGAAAAGCAGTAAAGTAATATTATAGTTAATTATAAAAGAAGTTCCTCAAACAGCAAGTAAATTTTTGGTACAAAGAAATGCTCATTATAATATCCTGTCATTTCTTGCATATCATATGTTATTTCTTTCCACCTTTAAAAAAAGAGTAAATAATACAGCGCATAAAATACGCATTTTACAGTAAATAACACAGAGCATGCAGCACAATTTATTGTTGTGCTTAGGGGGCTGAAAGATGTATAGCAACATCTACAAAGTAACATTAAATTGCATTAGAATTATTTCGAATTGTTAGGTGTTACCGAGGTCTCTGCTACCAGTAATTTTCTTATTGGGTACCAATTAATGAAGGAAAACACTTGTTCATAAGAAACTAATAGCTTAAACATACTTCTTCTTTAATCGTCTTAAATGACTTAACTTTCTAATTAAGGTAATCAATGGCATTCTATTTCCTTAGCATTAAAATTAATTGTAAAATATCTTACCTGTAGACCGTCCATAACGTAACTAAAATAAGAATACCCTTCCAGAACAGAACATTCGCCAGACTGTGGTCTATAAATGACCAGGAAAAAGTGAAGACCAAACAAAGGGACCAGTACTAAAGTAGCCCGAACAGCTTTCCTGAAAAACCAAACTTTAGCTTAGTTAAGATATAGGTACAATTCATCAATAAAAACTGTTATATTCACATGCTTCTTAAATTAAGATAATTTCATAATGTTCAGTTCAGTTGATGCCCTGTAAACTACTGACATATTGCTGTTATTGTAGACGTTCATCCTCTTGATCTGGGATGAGCTAGTCTAGTCTATGTCCTTATAATGGCCAAAAGAATTCGTAAATACATGTCGTTGGTGAAGGCCTGACGTTTTAAAGACTAACAATATGTATATCCTGATACTGACAGCCTTCGAATCACCTTGTAATTCTCAAGATTATAGAAATTTTGAAAATTTGAATAATCCTAAAAAATACTTATATATATTTACAGTGCAAATTATAATGATTTTATGCTTATGGATGTAAGTCTACAGAAGAAAGGGAAATAAGTCGATATTAAAAATTTATGTTCTAATTCCAGTATACGGTACACACAGCATTTGGTGACTGGTGATATGTCGGATGGATATAAACGCGCTATATTGGTGTTGGCGACAATTTTCAAAATTGCGGCAACGTCTTACCGTATATTAGGATTTTACCAAATTTAGATCTTAAGCTACCATAACATTCTTTGTACGTGCCTAAGATTTTCTGAAACATTTTAATAAAGACTTAAATATTCTCGAACGAAAAGGGTTATAATCGAAATATACAATAAAATTATAACGTTCGAATAAAATTATAACTATCGAAATGATGTTGATACTATTGGTACCGTTGGTACTCCTAAAAACGAAGTGATATGGTACTCTTCCGTTACAGCGGCGTCAGTTAAAAATGCGCAAAGACTACAAAAAATTACTTCTGTAAAATGTAAATTTTTAAATATAATAAATCTTAAAGAAAGTAAATTTTTCTTTTCAAATTTCCAATTATAGAGTATTTTACGCATAAATAAATTAATAAAAAAAAGAATTTCATCTAAATAAGTGGCATAACATTACAAATATCATTCAATATTATAGAAAAAATTTCAGTTTTTGAATATAACCGACACCACATAAATTCTATCAAATTTGAGTCTAAATGGTGGCAAGCAATGCACCGCTGAAATTTATTTCTCCATTTAGCACTACACCACAGTCGCTCCACAGTTTGGCCGAGGCATATGGTTTCGGGGTCTACAAAATTATAACTGTGATTCACAGTGAATAGTCCGGCATTTCTTCATCCCTCTTTCTTATACCCTTTCTAACAGTCTGAAAATATTATGCTGCCATCCGCGATGTTTTCCTGAATGGAAGTCATCAATGTTTCAGCACAAAGATCGGGAACAGCGAACAGAAAGCATTCTTTGTCTTCCCGGCATAAACCCCAGAATTACCATTGTTCCGGAAGAACATATCCAATGTTGTTTTTACTTCCTTCTACGAAGTAAAAAGGAAGTATTGTAATCGCGAAAAATTTCGGATATTATATTTAACGAAAATATCCATTTTGACCGCTATCAACGGCAATTTAACGGTGTTTTGTCGTGATATTTGTACGTAAGGACAGAATAAAGGACTCTTTTTTTTTCCTCCAAAAAATTACAAAACAGATTTAAAATGGATACTGAAGACACTATTTTGTACGTACGTACGTCAGTACGTATGTATGTATGTATCTCGCATAACTCAAACACCAGAAGCCTCAAAAAGCTGAAATTTTGTATATAGGAATGCTATAACATGCAGATGAGCACCTCCTACTTTGTTTGCAATCGGCCACAACAAATATATGTATATATATATATATAACACTGTGTTACTCGGCTCAGTGAGCTCAGTTTTTTTATTCTTATATGTTTGTAAATTGTGCATTTTTTGCTTTAAAAAATGATTGAATTATGTTGTTCTTATCTTCCGGTTAAGGTTTTTATACCTTTATATAATCTGCATATTACAGCTATAGAAATATCGACAATTTAAAAGTTGTTTAAGTGCGCCTAAGTCTAGTTTTGTGCTATAGCAGCCATATTTGTTTACTTTTGAAACTTAGCAGAATAGTGGATTTGTTGCAAATCTAGGTAAACTAAGCTAACTCACACAAAGTAATGTCTTCTTTTATTATTGTGAATTAAATTACGCTTAATCCGTTCTGGAATTATTATTTAAGTTACTACTAAATTATCCCATATGTTGACTCAGTATAGCGTCCACAATAAATGAAGTTTGTTTCTACGCATTCAGTGTCTTTTTACCGAGTGAGACCAAAAGTAAACTTTCAGTTTTGTGCACCGAAAAACTGTCTTCTTGCCTTCTGGCCAAATTGCTTGTTTTGCGTAGAAATTGTAATTTTTATTTATTTATTTACTTTTTTTTTGTAATTTTTAACTGTATTTGGTGTTTTATGTTTTTCTATATCTTTAAATTTTTAGTGAAGATATTTTGTGTTTTTATTACTTTTGCCTTGCCGCGAAGTGAGACCTGAATTAATTGAATGAGAAATACATCTCTGATGAAATTCGAGGAAATAAGTGTTTCATAATAGCAAAAAATACTGTAGCCAGTCCTTTCGCACAGAGGAGAATTTTGACGAGTAGCGCATGCGCATTAGGTACGTAGCGCTGAATCTGTTTATTTTTTATTTGTTTAATTTTTTTATACATCGTTTTAGATTTATTATAGTATTTGAATAGAACATGTGGCAACGATTTCAGATGATGTAATTTTTTTGCATTCTGAGTTATAAAATGAATGAGATGTAAAGTGAATCTAGCGCCAAAGTATCGTTATGATAAATACATATAAGTGAATTTTAAAATGCGCATTTATTCTATTATGGTTTATGCGCTACCGACGAAGTAGATTTAATTCGATAAGTTTAAATGAAATGAAAGAAAAAAATGCGTATAACGTAATATTTTGTACAAGGAAATCATGTGTTGTAGACTTTCGTTTATTTCTACGATTTTGTTGTCTCCACCGCTTTGATTTCTTTTACGAGACATCAAACTATTTGCCCATACCTCCCCGCAAGTAGTTATTCCAATGTACTGTCATATTATGAATGATGTCTAACTGAAGTTGGTAAAATTCAGTCCACGTTAGTTCCTGACACCACAGATAGATAAAACGAACGGCAGTGAATCTAGGAAGACGCAAGCCTTTAAACCGTGTTTTGGTTCTCAATCCTTTTTTTCACAGCAAAAACGTACGTAACAACGCCATACATGAGCTTTCTTTGAGTTCAAAAGTTAGCTTCATCAGATGATATTAAGTACAAAGCCAGTTGCTATGAATTATTCCTTTGTCCTAAAGGAATCCTTATCGCAGCTTCTTCCTCATTAGTAGCTGCGATAAAGATTCGCAGCTTCTTCCTCAATTAGCACGATGTATTAGTGTAGTCCATCGTGCTAAGAAAATGGGGAAATACGGCAAAAACTAAATAAATAAACAAATAACGTGTGAAAATATTTCAAAAGAAAACTGGAAATATTGAGCCACGATATTTGGCGTGTTATTTTAGCGTTGTTTTCTTCTCATTTTTTCTTTATTTTTAATTGACACCGTTCTAACCGTAGAGTACCGAAAATCGTTGCATTTCACGAATAAATCTCTATTTTATATGATAAGAAAAGGACACTATTTCTCTAAATTCGAATGAAACGGAATTTAAGTTAATCTATAAAAATAATATGTATGTGTAAATACATATAAAACAAAATTAATTTTGGGTAATAATTTTAATAAATTTCTGTAATGAGAAAAAGAGTTAGTTTAAAAAAAAAAAAACACCAGAGTTAATTTCTTACCTGAACTGGCTGGGTTCATTAGCATGAGTGGCACGCAGTTTTGTCACCAAAACTCTTATTATGTTGCACAAAAATAGTAGATTCAGCTGAAATAAAAGTAAGTATATTAGAAAGCACTGTAAAAGCTGCTCACAAATTATTTATCGAAATCTAAGGACAGTAGAGATAGATTTCTTTTGCATAGCATTATTTTATGTTTTTCGAAAAAATCAGATAAAGAAATAATCATTATGATGAAGCAAAATAAATGTAACCCCTTTCAGTCTATATGAATTTAACGTTATGAGTTTCGGGTTACGTAACGCACATTCTACTTTTCAAAAATTTATTAATGAAGTATTTATGAAGAACACAAGAAACACTTAAAATAAGTTTTTAGAGGTTACAAAAATAAAATGAAATTTTTAGGCTTTCTAATTGCACTTGAGGGATCAAAAAGCTCTTCCTGGAAAGCTTTTCATAGTGTTAAATTGCCTGACATTGTTCATCAAAAGAATCTTCCTCGGAACCGATAATTTCCATCGTCGTGTTTTTGAAAAATGCCACTAGTACTTAAGATATTTTACACGACTACTTAAAAGGTGCAAATAAATAATCGGGAAATAACACGGACAGATGAGGTTATTCAGCAATTTGAAAAATATAAAGAATATTTAGCAAATGTTGTTCTTCTATCTCACCTAGACCCAGAAATATCTTTTTCGTTTTGTGCAGATGCTTAGGACTGGGCAATAGATTCAATTTTACAAGTTCCTAAAATGATAGTTGGAAACCATTCGTATTTTATTCAAAGAAGCTTAACGTCACTAAGAAAAATTACAGTACATATGATTATGAACTTAATTTTCACAATTTACTTTTAATTTAAATATTTTGAACATTTGTTAAAAGGACGAAAGTTTATAGTGTATAGTGATCAAAAGCCTTTATCTACGCATTTTCTCAAAATCCCGATAAAGTATCTCCAAGGAAGATTCAGAAACTTCAATACATTTCAGAATTTACAACAGATATTAAGAAAATTACAGGAAAGATAGCATAGTAGCAAATACATTCTACTATGCTATTCTAGAATCAAAGAAATATTCTTAATTAATTATGTTCAAATTGCTGAATTTGTGACATTGTTAGAAATCTATAAATTTTTATTTTAATCAGTTTTCCCTTCCATCTGGTAAAAACAAATAAACTAAACAAAAGTATATGAAATTAATCCAGCCGAAGGAAACTCGATCGAAATGGATCCCTTGATTATTTGTACATGAAGATTTAGGATCAACTGTCATGCTTTTCTTCATATTTAAGAGTTCGGAACGAACTCGTACCACCATATGAAGGTCCATATTCTGTTATCAATCGTTCACAAAAATATTTTGCTCTCAGGATAAAGTGTAAAGAAAATAAATGTATCGATAGACAGATAGAAGGCAACATATATTCTACTACAAAAAATTTTTTTAACATGAGAAATATACAAGGAAAATTCAGAGATATTCAAATATACAACTAAAAATTGTAAATAATGCTCCAATGCGAGCTATGATTTAAACCAGAAAAAATGGGCTCAATCCAAAATTAAATCATCTTTAAGAAAATGCTGAAATGCTAGAATTCGTAAGACCCAATCGTGGCTCAAAAAGGCTGTTTATATTTATATATTAATTTTATTATGATTTTCAGAATAGGGACCGCAACGTAACGTTCGTTGCTGGTAGGAGAGTAATTGTAATGACATTAAATATGCAAATGTAACGGAATAAAGTATAAATAATTAATTAAAAGTAAGATACAAATAATTTAAAAGTGATATAAATAAGAAAACTGAAAAAAAATCTGAAAGCTTTCAAATTTTATATTACGCCAAACGTTTTTTAGACGCTTCGTGCGCTACTTATTAAATCGTACTTTATTTATTAAATAGCATGTTCTTTGCACTTATACCATAAAATTCAATTCAACAGAAATATTATAAAATATTTAAAAGAGCATATCATTAGAATCTCCAATACACAGTCTCGCGCGCTAGAGATAATTTTTTTTTTCGTGCAATGTTTTCATTGCTCGCTTTGAAATCATTGAGTTTGTCAATCAGAAACTCATAAATGCTTTACAAAATATGAAATAGATTGTAAAACAAACTCCAAGTTCTAAATTTGGCTTTCAAGATGTCCATATACGAGTGGCTGTATATAATCACCTACGTGATTCAAAATTTGATGGCTCTAGGTACCGTTGTTTTATCACAATGCGAGAAACATACATATATTTAGGCAGATTCTTCATTATTTAATTTCTTTAAATATAATACAACGGTCTAATATTTGGTGGCGACAATTTAAAAAGTGATTCGCCGTTTATATGAATCAATGCAAAATGCCAAAACGAACTTAATAGCCCTTTTGGGCTAACGCCCTTCTGAGCTAATAATTATAAATGTTAATTTGCATATTACTGTATTATCTTTTTATGGCAACAGTTTTCTCACTGGATTTCGTTTTCGAATCTAATGTCTTGTTTTTAAGGATAAATTAATTTTACTAATAGAGATAAAAAATAAGGGATTTGATGTTGATATGTTTGCATTATTTCTAGTTAAGTAAAATACCATTAAGGTACGTTGTTTCAGCTAAGAGCTAACAAATTGATTCTTCGTTATTGTTATCAATTGCATTATTTAAGTAATAATATTAAATTTTGTTTAATTTCGTTAATGCACAGTTAACGCGATCAACAATTACATAAGATCATTTGCAAAACATTTCACCATCTGAACCGAAAATTTTTTCTACTGAAATTGAATTGTTCTAGAAACTGTGTTGGGATTATCACATCGAAAACAATACCTATTAACAGAGAGAAATTTATAAATCAATTTCAACAGAGTTGAGATGAAATATTGAAAATGCTTTAATTAGATTAGATTGGTAAGCAATAATTCAATCAACATCACCTTCGAGTTTCCATCTTGAAATCTGCACCTACTGAACGGACGCTACAGTAGAAACCATTTCATTACAGGGATCGTATCGATTTAGACTTATTTGTATTGAATGAAGCAAATGGATTAAATAAGCATTCTGAAATGTGTATAATCTTTGCAATAAGTGACGAAATATCCCCATGACTGATCGAAGTAAAGATATTATAATTTTATAAATTATTAACACAGAGAGTCTTAGTAGTATTTAATATAGAAAATTTGCCGAAACCAATTAAAAATAGTTTATTCTAACTGATTACAAAACTTAGGACCTTAACGTTCTTAGCAATAATTAATGAAATATTGAAGGGTTTAGCTGTTCATCACAGCAAAGAACTTTCAAGTTAAATCCTGGCAAAAAATGTCTATATGAAAGGTATTTTTTGGAAAAATATTACTTGAAATAACGTTGAACGTTGTAGTATCATCTATTATGTTTTGGAATATTTGTTTGGTTTACTGTAGACCCTAGACCAAAAGATTAAGTAGTGAATTCTTGCTTATTCTTGGAAGAACAGATGACTGCAGAAGACAGTTTAAATAACATGTTAATTTGAATTTAACAAAAAAAAAAAAAAAAAAAAAAAAAAAAATGCACTCGCTCGGTGCTCACAATTTACCACCACTTGTGGCTAAGTAACTTAAAAATACGATGTAAAAATCACAATTTGTAAGATTAGCTGCATGACTGGCTCCTTACTTATCTATACCATTAAATCAGCTGCACACAGAAACGCCGAACTTAGAATATCAATATAATCTGAAGAGAGTGACTAAGCACCAACTACTCACGTGCAAAGTCATATTATTCAAACATGCGGCCATAAATTCGGTACAAACTCTTAAAACCGCTGCTTAAATACTAATTACAAACTCCTTTACGTTTGCATACTACGTCATTAAAATTTACATTCTGGCAGGAAACTGAAATCAGAAGGGAAAGGAGAGTTTCTGAAATTAAAAATAATTGGTTAGAATAAAATAAGGTCTTTACAACGTAGCATAAATTATTAAACGACCTGTGTAACCACCCTATTATTTTTTCCATGGGTAAAGATGAAGCCAAGCGGCTTTTGAACTATCTATACTTACACAAAAAAGGCCACCTATATTTATATGATAAAAACGCGAAGCACCATTTAGTTATGATTTCCTTTACGATGCAGATTAAGTCAACGCATGTTGGACAAAGAAGCTGAAACACATAAAAAATATAGCACTCCGAACTTTACACCATAATGCACGCTTCTAATATGCAACCCTAAATGATTTCGAGTTTCATTTACACCAGAAGCGAAGGAAGTAACTCGAAAGATAAGAAACGTTCTTCCAATCGGTTTATTTGTTAGCATAAGATTAAGTTTTCTGGAAAATGTTTTAGAGTATTTTAAAGAATTGTTGTGAAACATATAAAGCAGCGATCTACCAAATTACAGCAAAACTCAATACTCACAAGGACTACTGGAATTATGTGTCACATTCCTGACCGGGCATGTAATAGTAAAGCCTGTGGTAATCAGCGCCTATTCTTAGCTCTGTTTTCAGTGGCGTTGTGTTTTACTTAATTTGGTTCCTTTGATTATGGCAAAACATGCGAGAGCTTTCCGCCTATGTAGAGGGATGGTTTCCCAACGGAAGCTTCCTCGTATGTACATTAAACATAAGGAAAACCAGGACACTGCCCATGCAACCATTCCGTTCACCTAGAACCAACCCATGCCATACTATCAGTGTTTAGTGATTTTATCTCTCGATCACTAGTAGGCTTCAGTGGCATCAGGAGACTGAACCGTTGACGGTAACAATCCATATTATTCAGCAACGAGCCTACTTTCACTTACTTTTATATTAATGAGGAAGTTTGCATGCTTAAAATGTCTTCAGATGTATATATTGTAGATCGTCATACGCCGAAAGTGAAGCACAGAAGTCAATCAGTATGCATTTGGACCGCTATAACAAGGAAACTTCTGAGACCACTGACTATTCTGATTCCTGATTATCCTAGGTTTAGGTCTTGATGGTCCAGTGTCGAACATTGTACCCGAAGAGGGTGTTGCTTATTAGGATGGCAAAGCAGCGGTCCTACTACAAAACTGTTGACAG